GTCTGAGCCACCCGAAGCCATTCTCCTGGTGTAAAGTACCCGCCACCGGACAGGGTCTCAAGCATGGATACAGTAAATGGGGCATTGGGGCCATAGTTCTTAACTGCATTATTTAATTCTTTAAGAGGTTTAAACTTGAGGCACTTATACTCAACATCTGAGGATATAGTAGAGTGTCTACTATGCCCTGAAGGAGCGGGAGCAGGGACCTGCTCCGGAGCAGCCTCACCCTCTTCTTGTGCCTCTCCCCCTTCCTCATTATTAGAGTCTCTAGGCTCTTCTTTGTCACTACCTAATTCTTCTTCAGAGGAGAGGCCTTCTCTGGCCACCTGCCTAGTGATTACAGGGAAGGCAAGGGCCCTAGTTTTGGCAGACTTGAACAGAGTCTTTCCTGCAGCTCATGGCAAAGGAGCCACAAAAACAGTTCTAGTAACAGCCTTTTGTGGGGAAGAGAGCTCTGAGTTGAGCTCTGCAAACTCTTTTTGCAAAGAAAGAACATCTCTTAAAGCTATAACTTGTTTACTTAGGTCCTTTTTAGCTTTTAGAAGGATATCTGTATGGGCGGTGGTTATGGGAAGAACGGGTGCACAGAAGGTCGGTGGGTATGGAGGTAGGGGAGGTGCAGATGCAACAAGAGGGGGCCAATCAGGATTATGATATTGGGCAGCCTCCTCTTCTATGCTCCTGATGAGCGGCACCCTGAGTTACTTTTTGAAGGTTTGTCTTATTAATGGATGACACAGAGGTGGACCGAGAAAGGGACTTAATGAAATCCTCAGCTAGGGAAATAATTTTACTTTTGTTTTCAGGAGAGTCTTTGAGAAGATCTCGGACTAATGTCCAATAGCTGAAAGTCTGAATGGGAACTGCCTCAGAGCCTTTATCCTTTAATAGTTCATTTAAACACTGTCCCACTCGGTCCCATTTTTTAGGGTTGATTTCAGGACCATCTATAACAAACCAAGGACACTGATCACTCTCAAACACGAAAAAATTTACAAGATCTTTTTTTCTTAACTCGAACTCCTCTTTCTCTGAGGAAGGCCTTCAAGTCCCTAATAAAAATAGCCTCCTTAGACAGTTCCTGGCCCATTTTTTGAGACAGAGACCACTTACCTCAGATCAGCAGCTCCTCATGAGTGGTGAGAGTGCAGATCAAACAAAGTAGCGATCCAGCTTAGTTACTTTCACTTTGTCAGAGGCCGTCCTCAATGTGTACCCGGGTCTGTCTTCAACCGTCTCTGTCTGGCGAGGGTCTGTACCTTGAGCCCCATGTTTAGGCACCACTTGCCCCCGCCTGCGGGGACCCTGTACAGGTAAAGCTTGAGGGGGACCACTCCCTGAAAAGAAAAACGGGCGAGAAAGAGGAGACGGAGCCCAAGCAAGTCCACTTGTCAAGGGCCACTTTATTGAACTGCCAGCTTTCCTTATATACAGTTTGTATTTAGAAGGGGTTATGGGAGTTGGTCAAAAAGGTTACAGCATTCTTATGGGTATGGGAGGGGGACTGAGCAATTCAGTAACGTGACTGACCGCCAGGTGTTCCAAGAGATTACTGCATGACTTATCTTTCTGAGAACTGTTTGCAAGGGGAAGAGAAAGATAACCTTGCCATAAATTCTTTCTCAAGGTTACTGGTGTAAGCAGAATGTCCTGCTTAAGTCAACTGTTTGTAGAGCTATATTATATTTTTTGGTAATGATTGTTGTTTCTCCAGCTCCCGACACTCTCAACTGAAGAATCACCTTGATCCGACTGGCCTGTGGCCATCTTTGCAGAGCACTGGCTTGAGTGCTAATTGATGTGGGAGAACCAAGCCCACTGTGGGTGGCACTATCCCTAGGCAGGGGTCCTGGGTTATGTAAGCTGGCTGAGCATGAGCCAATGAGTGAGCCAGTAAGCAGTGTCTCCATGGTTTCTACTTCAGTTCCTGCTTAAGTTCTGGCCCTGACTTCCCTCCACGCCCTCCATGATGCATTATGACCTGGAAGTTTATACCAAAAAGCCCTTCCCTTTGCTAAATTGTTTTATGTCAGCAACAGAAAAGCATACAAGAGCACACTGACCCCCACAGGACACCAGTCCTTTTAATTCACCCAGGTAGTTACTCAGTACACAATGTTAAGCTCTGTGTCAGTCATGATGCAGTATGTAACCTCGGAAGGAAACAGGAAATAAATTTGTTTAGGCCACGGGGATGTCATGGGTCAGTGTTTCCTCAGGTGTGTGCAGAGTGTGACTGGGAAGCACAGACGAGAGACACTGAGGTCAGCTGCTTGCGTGGGATCATCCTCCAGGGGCATACTGAAACCCAGGTGCCCTAGACATGAAGGAGCAGGACATGAACAATGACAGAACAAAAGGCAGTGGCACTAGCCAGGTGTGACAGTGCACACTCACAATCCCAACACAGGAGAGGCAGAGGAAGGACAGTCACAAGTTCAAGACCAGCCTAGCTACACAGCAGGGCTACACAGTAAGACCTTGTCTCAAAAGGAGATGGCTCAGTGGATAATAGTGCTTACTATACAAACATGTAAACCTGAGTTTGAATGCCCAGCAGTCACATTTTTTAAAAGGCAGGCATGGATGTGCATACCTGTAACCCCAATGTTGGGAAGGGAGCATGGAGACAAGTGATGCTGGGAGCTCACTGGCCAGCCAGCTTAGCCAAAATGGTGAGCTTCCGGTTCAATCAGCGATCCCACCTCAAGAAAACGAAGTGTAGAGCAAGAGAAGTTAATCGGTGTCTTCCTTTAGCCTCTCTGTGCACAGGCACAGGTGTGTGATACACCCACTCATGTGCATACAATACACACTACACATGCACACACCACATACATGCATAAAGCACATAGGCACACATACTATACACACCAAATACATGCATAGACCACACACACCATTACACATATGCATACACCACACACACACAAGACACACATGGACAGGCACCATACATGCACACCACATACATGCACACAACACACATACCACATACACATCACACAGCACATGCACGAACACACCACATATACATACCCTACACACATACCACATACACATACTGTACACATGCACCACATAGACACACTACACAAATGCACACACCACACACATACCATACACATCACACACACATACATCACATATGCACACCACACCAATGCACACACCAGACACACAAAATACACACATCACACATACATGCACATATCACACACATACCACACACACCATTCACACACACCATGGGTGTGCATATACGTACCACACACACCACAGACACACCACATACACATACAAGCACACCACACACACGAAAAAAACCAGATAAACAAAGCAGTGGTTTTCCCAAAAATATCAGAAGATATCATCATTACCTATTTGTAGATATGAAAATTGACACATGTCAAAAGTATTTGGGAACTCATATCTAATCCCTAAAAGATTTTAGGATTACCTCTTCAGAGGGGGTAATATTAGAGTAGCAAAAAGGTCCATGTCGCGAGCCACGACTCCGTCCAGCAGAGCTGAGGAAAGACGACACAGACACCAAGGTGAGGTTCAGGCTTTTTCTTCTCACTCTCTCTCTTTATTCTCTTTATTCTCTTTATTCTCCTTATTCTCTCTCTTTATTCTCTTATTACTCTCTCTTATTATTCTCCCTCTATTACACACTTCAGCTCTTTATATAGCGTTCCCAACAGCCCTCCCCCCGGCCAGGACCAATCAGGGCACACACACGCGTAGCGGGCAGGCAGAGTGGCAGCTTATTGGGCCACATAGCAAGATCATCAGGCAGGCAGCACATGATCGGGCTGATAACGCTTCAGGGAGTTGGAGTAAACAAGCGAGGATCACGAGCCTTGGCAATCAGCCAAGAGCTGGAGTAAACAAGCACGAGGCTTGGCAGCCAGCCAAGGCACCATCTTTGGCTGACTCGGCCGTGCTCGCTTCCCACAGGTCCATTAAAAAATAAAGAGAGAGAAGAAATAAAGAGAGAGAGAGAAAGAAGAAAGAAAGAAAATAAAGTCAGAAAATAGTGATGGGGAGATACGGGAGGTGTTGGAGGGGAGGGAGCAGGTGTGGGTTGATCAAAACACTGTATATGCATGTATGAAATGCTCAATAAAGTTTTTTAAAAGTTAAAAAAGATAATTGACACATGAGAAGATAAATGACAAGAGAAGTGTATATATTTGAGTCTGAAGCCCATGAATCTGACCTCGGGGTCTGCTGCTGGCCAGCTGCCTTGCTTCCTATGACACAGGTGCCCAGGGAGGCTGAAGGCAGGGGAGCAACGCAGTGAGTTCCAGTGACATAGGAGAAAGGACTTTTGAACACAGGGCTCCATGGAACCTCCAGAAGTGAGACACACTGAGCGCTTTGCAGTCCTGTGATCAGAAAGCATCACAGTGACTGGCTCAGCACCCACCACCCACCTCGCGCTGGTTAGCTGTGCCAACCTTTCGAAACCCAGAATCACGTGAGAAAGGGGGCTTCACTGAGGGATTGCTTAGACTAGATTGACCTGTGGGCATGTCTGGGAGGGACTGTCTTGATTGTCAATTGACTTACCATCCCACTGTGGGCAGCAACACTCCCTGGGCAGGGGATGCTGGGCTGTAGGAGTAAGTCTGCTGAACACGCAGCAGGCAGCAGGCAGCAGGAGTGCCTGGTGTGATGTGACCAGCTGCTTGAGTTCCTGTGCTGGTTTCCCTGAAATGATGGGTTGTGGCCTGGAAGGGTTAGCTGAACAACCCCTCAGTCAGAGGGTTTTATCACAGCAACAGAAATGAAACTACAACACACCTCCAAGTGGAGGAGAATAAGGAGTGGGTGACTGGACAACCCCACTGGTGGCAGGGGATAGGAGTGGAGTTCAATGTAGATTCTTGCAATACTGCCCAGTGCATCACCTTCAAAGTCAACGGTGCCATTCCCATTGATGTGAGCCTCCTGGACTACCTCAGCGATCTCCCGGGGCGTGAGCTTATCTCCCAGAAGCCTCTGCATGGCCTGCTGTAGCTCTGCCAGTGTGATCTCCCCGTCTCCCTTGGCATCAAACTCAAACAGAAGTAAAGAAATGTCATCAGCTTCACTGGCAACAGCAGCCTTGGTGATGGGCAGTGTGTCTAGGTCACTGACTGGAAGTTGAGATCCAAGCTAAGAGCTTAGAATACATCGTCCTCTAGAATGTCAGCTACTGATGGTGAGGTTTCTTTGATTTATTTTTAAGATTTATTTTTATGTGCACGAATGTTCGCATACATGTATATACATACTGCACATAGTTCTTGGCATCCTTCGAATCCAGAAGAGGGTGTTAGACCTGGAACCATCAAGCGGTTCCTGGGGAGTGAACCCAGGTCCTCTGCAAGAGCAGTACATGCTCAGCCACTGAGCCATCTCTCCAGCGCCCAAGGTTTCTTTCAAATATGCATCCGTGTTTGTTATTTTTGAACAGCTTTGTTGAGCTGTAACTGGTATACACAGAGCTATGTGTGTTTAACATACACAATAGTCATGAAATTGTCATCACCATTAGTGAAACTGATGTATCCAATGCCACCGAAGTTTCCTCGTGCCTCCTAACCTTTGTTTTCCATATTAAAAAAGTATTACGTTCATTTACTGTGCATATGAATTCATGTGTGTGAACACATGCATGCTATGGTTCCCCTGTGGAGGTCAGAGGACAGCTTCTAAGAGTCAGTTTTCTCCTTCCACTGTGTGGATCCTGGGGACTGAACTCAGGTAGTCAGGCTTCGCAGCAAGGACCTTTATTCACTGAGCCATCTCACTGGCCTTATGAAAAATAGAATATTTTAAACTTACTCTTTGAAAATTTCATACCTGTAAATAATGTGTCTTTATCATATGTGCCCCAATTCTATTTTTATAGTAAGTAAACTTAACATGAAATCTGCTGTCTTCAGTTTTACTTTTCTTGAGACAGGAACTACCTATGTAGATCAGGCTGCCCCTGAACTCAGAGATCTGCCTGCCTCTGCCTCCTAAGTGCTGGGATTAAAGACCTGTGTTGCTATGCCTGGCTTTTCTTCAGCTTTTATATGTAAAATATTTCATACTAAAGTAGCACATTAATGTTTCACATATTATTTAATAATATGACTTAACAGGTGATGCTAACCATAGGCATGGTGTGATACATCAGATTATTGGAATTTAGTCATCTTGCATATTTCACATTTAATACTCATTGAGTAACAATGCCCTTGTCCATTGAAACCAGACTTCTACTTTGCTACTTCATTATTTAGAAACCTCACATAAGTGGAATCATATAGTATCTCTCCTTCTCTGGGCACAGAGACCCAATCAAATACTAGCCATTCTTAAAAGAGAAAGAAATCATGGGTTGGCAAGATGGCTCTGTGGGTTAAGGTGCATGCTGCCACCTGAGGACCTGAGTTCCATCCCCAAGATTCATAAGCAGGAGAACCAACTCTCACAGGTTGTCCTCTGACCTCCACATGGAAGTCATGGCACACAGAAATTTAATTTATTAATTAGATAATGTAAAATAAAAGAGAAATCCCATCATTTGTGACACATGAAGGATCCTATGCTAAGTGGCATAAACAATAAAGTGAAGTCTTTTACTTCATATTATTATTTGAATTAATAAACTTCCTCCAAAGGTTTTCCCTGTACATCCTTAACCAGTAGACCAGAAAGTCTAGTACATTTTATCTCTGGAGCATTAGCTCCTGCAGGTGTTAACTTGGCTCCTCCACTGTCTTCTCTACTCCGTAGTATTAAGGCCTCCAGGCTGGTACTCTGACTCCAATCCCAGTCCTCTTGGGGTCTGTTTTTTACATATCAGGACTTCATGTTCACGTTCACTTTAAGTATAAACTAGGGCTGTCAGGATGGCTCAGTGTGTAAAGAAGCAGCAAACCTGATGACCTGAGTTCAAACCGTGGAACCCACATGGTAGGAGAAAACCAGCTCCTGCAAGTTGTTCTCTGATCTCTGTAATAAATGTTGTTTTAAAATTAAAAATAATAATAATAAAGTATAATCTTCTTGCACTTGCAGTGGCAGTTCACATATCAAAATTAGAATAGTACAGAGAAGGGCTGGAGAGATGGCTCAGTGTTTGAGCACTAGCTGCTTTTCCAGAGGACTTGGGTTTGATTCCCAGCATCACATGGTAACTAACAACTGTCCGTTACTCCAATTCCAGGGATCCAACACCGTCTTCTGACCTCCATGCATATTGCATGACATGGGTGCACTTACACACATGGAGGCAAAACACTCATACACATAAAATAAATAAAATAATAAATATTTTTTTAAAAAGGGCTCGTTGCTCTTGCAAAGGACCTTGAGTTCAGTTTCTAGCACCCACATCACACAGCTCACAATCACCTGTAACCCCAGCTTCAGGGGATGCAATGTCCCCTTCTGGCCCCCAGAGGCACTGCACTCATGTGTGCATACTAACATGCAGACACATACACATACAGAATCTAAATAAATACTTTTAAAAGGAATTATACAGAGATTAGCATGAATCTTACGCAGGGATGACATGCAAGTTCTTAAAATACTCTGTTTTTCAAAAGAAATCTTGTTTGAGATTCCATTATACCCCAGTCAGAAAGGAGCTGACATCAAGAAAACAAATGCCAACAAATGCTGGTGACGATGTGAGGAAAGAGGAACCCGTATTCACTGTTGGTGGAGGCATTACAGAAATGAATAAAACTAAAAATGAAGCAAAGCATATGACGGAGCTATACCCTCCTGGATATACACCCAGAGGACACCAAGTCAGCACACTACAGAGATATTTGCACATTACAGTTATTGTTGCACTAGTCACAATGGCTAGGAAATGGAAACAGCCTAGATGTCCACCAATATATGAACCAATAAAAAATTGGTTTATATTCACAACAGAATTTTATTCAGTCATTAAAAGAAAATAAATCATGACATTGGCAGGGAAATGCATGATACTGGAAATCACAGAGTTTAAGTAAAATAAACCAGATTAAGAAAGACAATATCACATGTTCTCTCTCATATGTGGAACATAGCTCTAAGTCTCTGTGTGTGTGTGTGTGTGTGTGTAGGTCATGAAACTAGAAAGGGGACAATGAGAGGGGAAGAAAGGAAGGATGGAAGGAGAAAAAAGAAAGGGAATAGAACACATGTGATAGGAAAGCAGATGCACCAAGGATTTGTACCTGCTAAGGAAGTGCTCTATCACTGACCCACACCGCAGCCCCTCACTGGGGGATTCTAGGCAGGTGCTCTACCCCTGAGCCACACCCCAGCCCCTCACTGGGGGATTCTAGGCAAGAGCTCTACCACTGAGCCATAACATGAACTTGTAGGTGTGGTGAAAGCTATGATAAAAAATAAGACAGTGGTTGTTGCTGTTCGGTCATTTACTTTGTGACTGAGCCACACCCAAGCCCCTCACTGGGGGATTCTAGGCAGGTGCTCTACCACTGAGCCACACCTCCAGCCCCTCACTGGTATATTCTAGGCATGTGTCTATTGCAAATGTTTGGAATATGTTATTTTCCTTCCCTATCCATCCGATCCCAGCTGGACACAAAGTTGGTTTTGGTGAGCTCTGCCCATGGTGCTGACTATTCATAGCCCTCTTGAGTCTCCTTCACCTTCCCCCAAGCATTATGGAGTTTATTTTTTAAAGTTTCTTTTTATATCATAGTCTATTTAGACCCCGTCCTCCATTTGGACCCCTTTAGCCACCTCCCCACCAGATTTCATGCATTCGGTCATATATGTTACATCTTAGCTGGTCAAGCATTTGTACCCAGGTGTCCTTCAGTGCAAGTTCATCCACTGGAGTCTAGTCAACCTATCTAGCATCACTCCCTTTGAAAGGACCAATTCTCTCTCACCCAGCAGTGATCAGTTGCCCATAATCCTTAGCTAAGGTTGGGGCCTCTTGCCAGTTTCTCCAGTGTCCCCGCCTGCGAAGACCCTGTACAGGTAAGACTCGAGGGGGACCACTCCCTGAAAGGAAAAATGGGCAAGAAAGAGTAGACGGAGCCCAAGCAAGTCCACTTGTCAAGGGTCGCTTTATTGAACTGTAAGCTTTCCTTATATACAGTTTGTATTTAGAAGGGGTTGAAGAAGTTGGTCAAAGGTTACAGCATTCTTATGGGTATGGGGTGGGGGAACTGAGCAATTCAGCAACGTGACTGACCACCAGGTGTTCCAAGAGATTACTACATGACTTATCTTTTCCGAGAACTGTTTGCAAGGGGAAGAGAAAGATAACCTTGCCATAAATTCTTTCTCAAGGTTACTAGTGCAGGCAGAATGTCCTGCTTAAGTCAACTGTTTGTAGAGCCATATTATATTTTTTGGTAATGAATGTTGTTTCTCCAGCTCCCGACATCTCACCCTTTATTAATAACTTTAGCGAATGAAAGATCTGCCTTAGGCTATGTGGTGGGTCCCACATTCTTTTGGTAAGGCCCCTGTCTTAGGCTACACAAACTGCTTCCATGTTCAGTACCCGCAAGTTTGGGGTACACCCCTGAATCATGGGTTTGTGCTATTCCCGTCATTGAGTACCTTACAGCTGAGAATCTGCCTC